CCGTGAGCCAAGAATTCAATGAGCTCAAGGGATGTGAAAACAAATATTCAGACACAGAGGGAGGGTAGTGGCAAATAAAGCTCTGCGTGGAGGCTCAGGAGGTACAATTTCCATTCCCAGCTCTGTCAGTGGGCTGGTCAGAGTCTGGACCCAGTTCCTAACCTACAAAATGGGAATAATTCTGCTGTCATTTCTCAGCTGTCTTGCATAGCCTGGAATAGTCCTTGGGGTTGGTGTCATATGAGAGCCTCATTCATCGTGTTCCCTACAGCATGCGCAGTGCAAGAGGAGCACCAGGAGGACACAGCTGCATTCGAGAGATACCCAAGGGTCACCTTTTGTGCTGAGATCCCCGTATAAAAGTACAGCACTGCGAATTTTGTGGCATTGAGTTAGGCTTGGTTGTGGTCCATCTCCTTCTGTCTTTGGCTGAATTATCCCCATCCGTCCCACCCCTGCTTTGTGCTGGCCACCTCCTCGGTGATTGCTGCTCTTTGTGAGGACTCTGACAACAGACAATGAGGGTGAGGAGAGGGTTTGTGGACCGAAGGAGAGGCGCAAAGTGTGATGGTGATGGGTCTCAGGGGAGGAGAGCCAGAAGTGCCACGGGTGATGGATGGATGCGATGCCAGGGGCACGCCTGGATGTGCACGAGGCAGGAATAACGAAGGGGAGGAAGAAGCAGATAAGTGGATTGAAAGGATTTACAGCTCCTGCACAAGGACGGGGGGCAAACTCTTTGGGACCACAAGGGAAAAGGCAGGGATGATTCCCCTTGGGTTCGTGGCTGCGTTGTGGGAAGGTGACCCAGCTGCCAGGCACGGCAGGGTTAAACAAATTCCCTTCCTGCTCGCTGGCTGCTGACACAGAAATGTGATTTACGCCGGGGAAAGCCATATTTTTACAGCCTTACATAACGCTGTGACACGCTGGACCTTCAGTATTCCCCTGGCAAAACGCTGGGTGAATGCCACTGCTGCTAAAATCGAACGACCTCTCCGGAAAGCAAGGGGCGGTCGTATAGCTGTCACTTGGAGCAAGATTTAAGGGGCTTCACCCAGGCAGCAGAAAACCTAACGCAGACCACAACGTATTGAAAAAATAAATGTCCCGTGTCCCCAGGAATGCCCGGTGCCGCCGGCTGAGCGCTGCGAGCCCCTGCAGGCTGTGGCTGGAGAAGAGCAGCAGGGCTGCGTGGCCACGGTCTGCTGCTCTACAGACACGTGGTGCAGCAAGGAACAGCTGAGAAGAGTGCTTCAACCTGGAAAAAAAAAAAAAGAATAAAATTGATAAATGCCTCGTGTGCATGTGGAGAGATTCAGAGCGTGCCCCCGGTCCTAGGGAAGTTATTTGTAAGCAGCCTTGAGCTGCTCAATGAATTTCCCTACATTATCTGTCAGGGAAGTGCAGGGGAGCTGGCTGCAGCTTTGTCATCTTTGCTTGTGACATGGGATTATTGCCAAATTATTTCTTGTTCTGTTGATGGCTCTGTCAGAGCTTTGCAAATGATGGCAAGGTTGGAAGATGCTCTCAGCGAACCCTGGTTCCTCCCTGGTTAATTGCCAGGAGGGGGATACAGAAGGGCCAGCCACGGAGCAGAGGGGATTGCTGATTATGGACCTGAGCAAAGAGCACAGCAATTATTATTATTTTTTTATTTCTGTGCAGTTTCATTCCTGAAACAGATGCACCGGGGACTGTTTAAGGATTTTGGGCAGGATGCAAAGATTAACAGGGCAGCAAAACAGAAGGAGGCTTGAAAGTGTCTTTGGCATGGATCTGCCCATCTCCATCGCTTGGAAGTGCTCACGTACACAGTCCCAAAATAATTTGTCGCAAGACTTCGACCTCTCCTCCAAGTGAAAGGCTGATGGGACCCCTCGCCGTGAGCTGTGCTGTTTTTGGGGAGGAACAAGGGATGCTCACCACGGTCTGAGCTCGCACCTCTTTGCAGGAGCCTCGTCCCCTTGGTTCTGCTCTGCTCGAGTCCGCAGCCGTCATTAATCACACCCCGACCAGCTGCCGGAGGGGTGGTTTTAAATCTCCCCAGATGGCTCTGCAGAAAGTTCATTAAACATGAACACTTGCCATCCTGAGAGGGAATTAAATGAGAGTTAACACCTCTTAATGAGGGACTTAAATGCTGGGTAATAGAAATAACAGCTGAACACCATGTACCTCGACGCATGGATGGGACACAGGGGAGTCCCCAGCAATCCTATTTTTTTCTGGCAGGTGCCCTGATGGGGAGCGACCCAGAAATGTCCAAAAATCACTAAAGATCTGCCAGGGATGCCCTTCTGGGGGTAAATACAAACCTCAGAGAGGAAGATGCTGGGCTTTGGAGGAGCTGTAGGTGAATATTTTCACAGCTAAAGGTGGAAATCCAGGCTAAATCCCCCCAAAACAACTTTTGCACCTCTACCCTGAGCTCAGCCTCTGAAGGGGACTCTCCGTGAGCAGGTGGCTCGGCTAATCAGTTAATTGGCTTTGCATATTGCAAAAGGGCCCCTTGAAATTAAAACCCCTCTGGATAAAACCTCAGGGACCTGTGCTTGGGTCTGGGTGGGATCAGCCTTCCCCTGCTCTGCAGCAGCACAGGCACGTGAGCAATGCTGAAAGATGGCATGAAAAAAGCAATGAAAAGGAGCTTTAAAATGGTAATGTCTTATTTTTTTTTTTTTCTGGTGCCTATAAATCCGGGGGCTGATAAATATTTGCATTTTCCCCTGATAAAAGCTAGTGCATTAGAACTGTAAATGGGAAGTGGGTCTGCTTTGTGGTGAAGTATAGATCTCGAACAAATTCTAATCACCTGCTCAGGAGTAGACACGGGGGAGTGGGGAATTGATAGATAAAGCATCAGCTATTAAAAGAAACACCGCGCAGCTCCTCCGGGCTGGATAAATCAAGGAGCCCTTTCTATTCACGTTCACGTGCAGCTCAGGAAGGCAAATTGATGAGGACTTGAGGTGTACTCTTGTGTCAGATTAAACCGTGATTTATGGCCAGGAAGATTGCATTTCAATGTACCTGCTGTGGAAAGTTCTCGTCGTCCGTTTCTGGCTGTGCTTCTCCCCTAGCAGGTAGGCGAGAAAGTCCTAGCAAAGCCAAAGAGCCAAGTGCATGTTTCAGCTGGACACGTAGGGGTTAAAAGCTCTGGGGCTGGATGGGGGGGTTCTGTCCTGGGTAGAAAGGTCAGGATTTGGGGTGGCTGCTTGTAAAAATTGAAAATAAAGCAAATTTCAACCTGGCGTTCACCATTGATCTGTTCCTGGTGTTGTTTCTCGTTTCATTTCAAGGTTTATTTTGAGTCCTTCAGCTGCAGGAAGCCCAGAGCAGGGCCTCTTCTTTGCTCTGCTGCAGACCATCACCTGGATTAAAAAAAAATAATAAAAAAAAATAATTAAAAAAATAATTAAAAAAAACCTCTTGCAATTCTGAAACAGGAGGGAGAGGAGAAAATGGCACAGCGTTGATTGGGCTAGGGAAAGACAAAGGAAGAAGAGGTGGCTTGGATATTTTGTGGAGCAGGGACTCTTTTTGCCCTTGTGAAATTCTGGGGAAGATCTTGTACACCCAGAGGCCTCCCAGGAGCTGATAGTGGTGGTGGCACGAGGGGAGCAAGGAGATGGGGGTCACCATCCTCCATCTACGCTTTGCTTTGCACATCTTGGTGAAGGCAGCATCCTTCCTGGTGCTGCATCCCACTCTGCCTCCTCCAGGCTGGACATCCCTTGGTCCTCTGCTGACCAGTCCCACCAGTTCGCTTTGCACTTCCCAGTGAGAACTGTGTCTGGATGAGGCCAAATTTCCTTCCCACGCCTCATCCTGAGGCTCCCACCATCATCCAGACCTGGGGACGCTGCTGACAAAGGAAGAGGTCGCTGAAGCATCCAACCCACATTTGGTCCTTGGAAGTAACCCTGCATTGTTCCTGGTGCTGAGCAAGCCTGGCGTGCTCTGAGGCAGCACGAGGGGATCTCTTCAGGAGCTATTTAGAGTTATTGAGAACCTGGAGAGGAAATCCTCGTTATCTGTAAAGGCTGGCGGGCACGGTGGCAGCATCCATACCGATGAGAGCCACCAGCCCCAAATAAAGCCAGCACATCCCTTCGTGTGCTCCCAGTACCCCTCAGTCTTCTTCTGTGGGATAAACTGGTTTGGGATGGGTGGGAGCAGCCCCACGATGGGAACACGGCCAGGTAATGCCACCCACGGCAGCAGCCTTGCTCAGGAATTAGGAGCTGCTGATGGAGAGCTCTAATTTCCACCTCCATCGGTGTGCAAATAGCTATCCACAAGGGGAGCTGGCTCAGGGAGGGACATTGAATACTTCACCTGAAAGGGGCAGTGCCAGCTCCTGGGTTCAGTGAAGTATTTGAAGGTGGAAGAAAAAACCCCACTGTGGTTCCTCCAACACCAGGGAGAGAAATAAACTCACAGCCTTGCCAGGAGGTGATGGAAAGCAGAAATAACTTTCCTCCCAGCTCACAGGAGCTTGGTTTGGTCTTCCCTCTGCTTGTCTCCTCCGAGGGAAACCCACAGAGGTCCCCTCTGATGGCTGGGGCTGCAGCATCCTGCTTTTGGCACCACCATCAGCGGGCAAGGGGGCAGGCATCCTGGTGGAAATATCCACAAATATCCACAATATCCACAAATAAGTGAGGCTGGGATAAAGTAGGGCCAGCTGCCAGCTTGCTCAGGACCTTGTCCTGCCCAGGTCTGAACGTCTCCAGGGATGGGGTGGCCACAAGCCTGGACTCCTGCTTGCCCAGAAGGCAATTTCATGGGTACATCCAGGATATAGAGCTCCCTTTTTATTTAAAATAAAATAAAAATGAAATAAAAATAAATAAATAAAAGGCACCTTTGTTAGATTGGATGGTTTTTGAGTCATTGCCATCTGCAGAGGGCTGGAAGTGGAGCTGCCCCAATACCAGGAGGCACAGGAGAGCTCTCCCTGCTCCACCACTGCCAGCAGCAGAGCTGAGAGAAGCCCTCAATTCCTTCAGTCCCCTTATCAATGTATCATGAGATCAGTTTTCCTCAAAAAAAAAAGTTCAAAAAGGTGAGATGCTCCACCAGGAGGTGGGGTGGAGAGAGGGGGCCCTGGGATACTGGAGGAGGGGAAGGGGTGTCCCCAAATCTGGGGACACAACAGAGGGATGGGATGGGGATGGGATGGGATGGGATGGGATGGGGCCAGGAGGGGGCTGCTTTCGAGCTGGGTTCCTTGTGCACATTAATGATGCTCCACGGGGGATGCGACCTATTTAGGGTGTCTTTGGTGGACAAAATTTGCCCTCGTGAGGCCCCACCTGGAGTCCTGCATCCAGGTTTGGGACCCCCAGCACCAGAAGGATGTGGGACTTGTCTCTGAAAGCAGAGACAAGCCCAAAATAGTTGTAAAACCCCTGAGTTTCCATTCCTGTGACTTGCTGGAGCAGGCAGATGCACTTCGTCCTGGACTGGAGAAGCAAACAACAAACTTTCTGATATTGCTTCATATTTTCTCTTTGCCCTCCTCCTTCATGGAGAGTTTCGCTATTTTGACATCTCCATCAGGGATGAAGGTGGGTGTCGGGATTTCCCGAGGGGTGGAAAGTCTCATTTTCCCTCAGGTCAGCCCAAATAATAAATCTGCAGCCAATTAAACCTCCCACTTGTCCCCTTCCACAAACCACAACCTCCTGGAAGTTCACGGCCACAGCTGAGATGAACTCCTCTGTCCTCCCACCACAAAAGCAGAATATATTGCTCCCAGGGGACCCATTTTCCTGCCTTTTGGTGATATTACTCCATTTTTTTTTGCATTTACCTGGTCTAGTTGTACCGTTTCTTTCTCTAAAAGGCTGCCAGCAAACATTTAGGATTATTCACGCATATTTTTGCTGCTACAACCAGTTGATTTGGTCACAGGGAGTCCCTTGTAATCACGATTCTTGCACAGAACAGAAGCTTTTTTGTCTGGTTTCTTTATTTATTTTCTTAAATGTCAGAAGAAATCAGCGGCGTTTTGCAAACACGGAGGAAAAGTTGATGATGGAACAGAGAAGCACCCATGCAGGTGGCAAATACAGACGCAGAACGTGCAGGTGGGGAGGGTCCTGCCATTGCTTCGTGCCCCTTGGTGCTGGGGTGTCCCCAATGGGATGGAGCTTACAGGAGAGTTTGGTGAGCTACTGACAAAAAGAGGCACATCCAAATGGGGAAATAATTCATGAAAAAGGGGTTGTGAGGCCCTGCCTCAGAAACCGATTTCTCAGAGGCATCTTTTTATCCGAATCCTGCCAGCAGAGCATCTCTGCACAAGCACCACCTCTGCAGTTAAACCTGGGACCCCTCTCAGGACCGAAGCACCAGGGGGGGTTATTATGGGTGGATATCTTCTATCAGGGTCATCCCCTGGGGGAGAAAAGCCAAAAATAACTCTTGCATGGATGGAGCCGTGTCCCAGCAAAGATCTGTCATTATTTTGGGGCTGTGCCATCCCAGAGCAGCAGCGTGTGGCTGAAAAATGAGTGTGGGAGGAAGGGGCTGGATCTGACCCCACCACCCGGAGCCCACCGAGGCTGCTCACAGATGGAGAGGGGCTGGCGAGGCAGCCAGCTGGGTCTGGGGCTGGTAGGGAGATGGATGGGGACCATATGCTGCGTTAGCATCAGGGCACGAGCGAGCAGGTTGGAAGCAAGGGACGGCTGTCAGCGCCGTCACCCTGTCAGGCAGTCCTGGTTTCAAACCCATCCTTCTCTGCAAAGCAAGCAGATGGGTGCCCTCACCATCCGCCACCAGATCCAGGGACAAATTGTGCAAGCTGTCCCCTCGTGGGATGCCAGCAGGAGATTTCAGCCCCTTCTGGGGTTTGGTTTGCACGGGGTGAGGCTGGGGAAGGACCTCCGGGAGCAACCAGGGGTGGGGGCTGCAGTGTTTTAAATTCTCTCTCTTTTTTATTTATTTTATTTTATTTTATTTTTATTTTTTCCATTTGAAATCATATTCCTACTGCGAAAAGTCTCGGGGGAATTGCTGCTGTGCCTTGAATTCCCTTAGACTTCATTTGGGATTTGTTGTGCCCAGGGTGAGGGACCTGGGGTCCCTCGGGGCAGCTGGGGTGTGAGAAGGGTTTAGCTGGTCCCACTGGGAGAAGGAACCTCTCCTGGGGGAGAGACAGACAAAAACACGGGGATTTTACCAGCACAATTCCCTTCTGGGGTGGCACTGGGGTGCAGGGGGCTGCTGGATGAGGGAGGTTTTGGGTGGCTTCTTGAAGGGTTTTGCCACCAGGGAGAAGGAGGAGCAGGTCCCTCGCATACACCACCAGCACTGACCTTGGTCATCAGTCACAAGCATCAGTAGCTCCTGGGTTTCCTCCACTAAACCTCATTGCCTCTAAAAATGTAAATCTTTAGTCCCTACTAAATGATACTACAAAATTTGGCTGCCCCAAATCCCGGCAGTGCTGCATGGCAGAGGGAGCGCTGGTGGGGCTCGTGGCGCTGCCTGACGTTGGGTTTATCAGCCCAAGGTGCTGCACCACGAGTGGCTTGGTCTTAATAAATGAGGTGGCAAAGCACTTGGGGATGTGCAGGTAATAGGGGCAAGGCGAGGGTGCGAGATGGAGTGGGGAAGGGTCCCTGCAGGGTGCCCAGTCTGCAAGCAACAGGCCCCACATGGTACCTACCTTCAGGGCCAGGAACCCTTTCCACCCCAAAAACCACCCATCCCAAACTTGTTTACGCAGGCAAGACCCAAATGGATGGATCTTGGCCTCAGAAAATTGAAATTAAAGTTGCAGGCTGTTCTCATTTTTACGTCTTTTTTTTTTTTTTTTTCCCTCCCAATCTTTAATCAAATGTTGCTTCAGCTTTTTATGTAGTTCCTATCAAAAAAAAGAAATCTGTAGAACAAATTTTCCCTCATTTCTAGTTTAATTTTTTTTTTTTTCCCCCTGAGTGGCAAAATGTTCTCGTCTGAGACATGTTTAATGAATTTTCCACCGTCGCTTGCCTTTATTAGCGGCGATTTCCTATTTCTGGCGATGCGCTCTGCCATTCCCATGTTCCGGAGCGCGCTAAATTATTCAGCCCTTTTATTTCTGACTTCGGGTATTGTTCGGATCCGCCGGCACGCGCTGCTCAGGTGCTGGTGGAAGTTTTTCCTCGTCGAGATGGGGATTCAGCACAGGCAGCCTCGGTTGCTCCCCACCACGCTCAGTTTTAGCAGCTCCTTTGCAAAGTCCCAGCCTTTCAAGGTGTTGTGCTCATGGGTGGCAAGCAACCCTCCTGTCCCCTCCTCATCCGCAGTCCTGCTACCCCAGAAACAGAGGAAATTCATCTGATATTCATGTCCCTACCCAGGGCATGGACATTTCTGGGAA